AAGTTCATCCATATACAAAACATGAGCATACGTTTTATGTGTGTAAACAAGGTGATACAATACCGAAACCGAAACATCATGATGTGCATTTGAAACCTCCACAAGCAATAACCCAAACGATGAGAATAAAGGATAAAACAGCACCTCCAACCATCAGCTTCATCTGCAGACTCTGTAGCCACATCTTCCTTCTCAACTGCCTCCCTTGTCTCTGGAAACTATCCGCTTGGAATTGCAGGTTCTCGGTTTTGTCAACCAGAAGTTCGATCTTCTCTCCTCTGTCCAGAACCTTTTTAAACATCATCAACAAGATAATCATAAATATCATCAAAAATGGGACAAACCAATCTATTGCAAGAGTCTGACAATTTTTTGGTCCTAGCACCAGTTTGCCTAACCTTTTCCAACACCAAAAACTGGATACTGTTGACGAGTATTGCAGTTACTTTGTTTATAACATATATTTGACCTCAAACTTAAGGCAAATCGAAACATAAATCCAAAGTGTAAGTGTGACAAGATGATGTTTGTGACTTGAATCATCTATAGCTTAATTGACTCCTATAATGAGAGAGTTCATGCTGTAGTGATCCCAATTAGCATATCTTTTAGACCTCCCCAGTAAATTCCTACCCAGATTAAAACTCGTTAATGATATTGGTGAAGTACAAGACATGCGTGCAAAAGAGAACATCACACAATACAAATTTTTTCTAGTATACAAAATCAAGCTGGTCAAAAGGCATAACAGCAGGTCCAAGACTTATTAGCTGCATGCTACTTCTTAATTTCTAACAGACTTATATATTCCAGAACATGTCACAGATTTAAACGTCGACAGGAGTCGAGTAATATAACACAGGGTAAGCAGCACATAATATAACTTACCATAGACTAATGAAAGAATTGTTGCAAAAAAAACAATTGGTAATTTATCAGCAGAACTACCATGAAAAAAAATCCAGTTATTTGGTGTCAAATCGCTCTTCCAGTAGTTATGACTTGTTTAGTATCCTTTCCTACAGTTTTTTTTTGTTTGAAAAAATCGTGTGTTGTATACCTTGCAGATAAAACTTCTATCATATCAAACCAAAATACGAGAGTGGCGTAAAAGCATACCTTCTCAATGTTGTCCATCATGATCCCCTTGACCTCAGTTATTTGGGCCTTCAACTTTGAAAGCTTGCTCATCTCTTCAGGATGGCTCATACAATACTGCATATGCTCCTTAAGTATAGGCCTGTTAGAAGGAGAGAAAAAAGAAGAAGTATGAAAAACGGCTAAGAATACAGTTGTAATGCGAAACAA